TGTAGCCGGTTTTGGCGATCTGTTGAGAGTAAATGAAAATCATTAAACAAGGGGTGTGAAGGATCATCACAGATGGATTTTTCTTTATGCAAAACACACATGAATGATAGATAGAGGAGAGGGCTGGAAGATCAGCCCCAGTGACCTTCTGATATATTTTCACAAGGCTGCCCAGTTTGCTTTTGCCTCTCAGATTCAGCTTGCCACACCAGCAGATCAGGGTAAATGTTAGAACAGATTTAAGGAAGGACTGATAAAACAAAATCAACAAAGGATATGTATGGTTGCTCTAATTGCCTATAATGTCAAAAGGAAGGAAAAAAAAGAAATTAATGGGCAGCAGCTATTTACAAGGTTGATAGTGTGGTGTAAGTGTTAATTGCACTGGTTTACATGAAATAAACCTGTAATCACAGCTATAAATATCACCCCATTACCATTTCTTTTATAAGTATTATAAAATACATGTTACTAGGGCAAGATCAAACATTTTGTGTACCGGTTCTTTCTTTGTAATGTTCACATTATCCTTTCATACTATAAAAAGGAAAAGGACCAAAGGAATACTTTTTTTTTTTAGATCATCCTCATTTTGGACGATGGTCTTTGGAGTGGCTGAAGAGATCCGAATTGTTGTAATGTGCAACTGTCTGTCAGAAGCTAGGCAGTGTTTTTAATTACCTTTCCTAGCCAAAATATACCCAAGCAGATGACCTGATCCTCTATTCGGGTTATGATATTGTTTTGTTGATTCTAGTTACAACTATTCTAGTTACAACACAAAAGTGATGTCTCATTTTTCTAGGAACAGTAATTCATAGCCTTGAACTGTCATATATCACTAGCAGATTTTACTCCTACTTCAGAGAACTGGCCTTCACACATTTAGGAGCCTGATTGTGAAGTGTCTCCAGTGGAGACTGGGAGTGTAAAACACATAATATATAGTAGAAGAGTACAGTATGATCCTCAGATGTTTAATCTGCTTCTATACACTACAAGAATTTTGTGTACAAATCAAAGGTTTGTCCAGTAGAGGACGCCAGAGATCAGATGTTTCTGGAGATTTCTGTGGGATGCTGAGAATCATCCTGCACCATCTTAAAGGGGAATTGCAGTACCAATTTCTCAGTCAGGTTTTTAAATCTTGGTAACAAAATAAATTAATTATCGAAAATTTTACAAATTCGAGGTTAAATGTACTTGCACAAAGTTCACGATTTTACAGTATGGTTGCTATGTTGTCGCAGGCAGATGAGAAACCGCTGGTCTCGCCACCGGCAAGAGCAGTTTTCTGAATTGTGACTTACTGTAAAAGCGTCCCTTCCTGCTTACTAGTTGCCGTAAGGGATTGAAAAACATGTTAATTATTGTTAATTATTATGAATGTATTTTAGTTAGTTGTCAGGTTGCATTTGCAATAGTTAAATGTCTGGTTTAATTAAAATATTTACTATTAATATACTGTAGTAGCAAGATGTACATGGTCTAAAGCATGTTTACAATGTAATAGCGCCACTTTCGCGTCATGGGACGTTTTGTTGCCTCGTTCTGAATCACAGACAATGACGGCGCTACATACGTTGAAATTTCGTCACTTTTTGATATGAATCAGGTGTTGTGCACTTTACAGTGTACTTGGTAGTTTCATCGTGGTTTAAAATGCACTCATCATTACCATCCCCTGAATGTAAAAATAGCATGCAGTTCCCTTTTAACAGGAAAACTGCTCGACTGCCACAGTTATTAGATTTAACTGTCCATATTGTAGTATTATTACCCTATGTCACTGGGATTCGCTATGATTGCTACTAGGGTACTAAAGTACAGTTAACGAAATTAACTTGTGTACAGTGTTACAGAAGTTAGTCACTGCCTTTCCCTGCCTCAATACACAACATGTATCGTTTGTATCTGTCTAACAGATAACATTCCTGTCAAGAAATGTGATTTTATATTGCTTTTATATACAGGTAAAATCCACAAAAGAGAATGAATCAAGCTGTAGTGCTGCTTCCTCAGTTTGTACACTTTTGTGGAGGTTTGCTTTCTTGTTATATTTTATTTTTCTAAAAACATTTGAACTTCTGTCTAGAGTGTTTTGTAGTGTCCTGAATACTACATTATTCTCCAGGGGTAAGAACTGCACTCACCATCAGACAAACTGTAACTCAGTAACTCAGTTTTTCATTTTGTAAAGTGGGTGTAATTTAAGACTTTCCATTAAGGCTTATGGGAGTATGGAACACATTGCCCAGCCAGCAATTTTCACTTCTTTTAAGCCACTTTTCTGCAACAGTGCAGTGTTACAGTAGAATTGCAAAGGTGTGCAATGTCGAACTTAGAACAGAAAATAGAAAAATGAATACATTTTCTAACTTAGTTGCTTATTTAAGAAGGTATCAGTTTCTGTATCTAGCTCATTATACAGTAGATATACAGTGCCTTTCCAAAATATTCAGACCCTATGTTGTTTTAATATAAAATGTGATATGCAGGCTGAATATTTGTACGGGTAAGATAGGTTACTGTAAATGTCAACACAAACCAAAGACAAAGAACTGGAATATTTATTTTTATATGCTTTGGGATCATTTATAGACAGACGGTTTCAAAGCTTTCCACAACAGGGTTCAAATGCCACAAAAGGACATTTGTTTTCTTATTCTTAAACCACTCCAGTGTAGTTTATGTGCTTTTGATCTTTGACCTGCTCAAAGGTGAATTTTCTCCCCAGTTTTAAGACTTTAGCAGACTGAATCAGATTTTCCTCTAGGATTTGTTGATATTTTTCCACACCTATTTTCCCATCAGTCCTCCCTTGATAAGCAGCTACTGATAAGTAGCAGAACTATAACGTAATCAGATGTAGCAACTTGCATTTACACCAAAAAATGCCAATGTTGTCTTGTCTAATCGCAATATCTTTTGGTTTGTAATAAACCTTATGTGGGATTGAGATGGCTTTTTTTAGTTCCATACAAACCCCCTGTGTGGAGTGAGTGGGATATTGTTGACTCATGGACATTTTCTCCACTGGCCTTTACCAATCATGGCCTTCTAATAATCCCCATCTATGAACTGGCATCTTTACTCTCTTCTCTTCCACACTGATAGCTGATGTGTGGCGAGCGAACTGGTTCACTATGGCTGCTATCGCATCATTGAGGTAGGTGGAAAGGAGTACCCCTTGCCAGTAAAGCACTTTGATTGGAGTGTTGAATAGCACTATATAAGTGTAAATAATAATGATAATAATAATAATAATAATAATAATAATAATAATAATAATTATTATTAGTTTTTTGCTTTGAATTTGTGGGGTAGGTTGTGAATATAACAACTATTAATTGTTACTTCACAGAGTCATGACTACAAGTTTTAAAGCAACAAAATGCAATAACGTATGCAAGAGTCTGAATCCTTTTGCAAGGGTCTACAGATGGTAGAGTAGAGAATGTGCATTTTTATTTAACATGCACAAGAACAACTTTGACTGTGGTTAGTGATTCAGTGACATGGAGGGGTGTTTAAGATAAGGAGTGGTTCTAGTTCAGAGGACAAACCAGTGTTATTTAGCTGCAGTCAAGAGACGACCTTCAACAACCAACCTTGGATGTTTGTTTTCTAGAAGCTCCAGATTGCTCATCCTCACCAACAGTGTGAACATTTTGTTTTAGCATATAATTCGCTCTCACTGTTGCTGGTGCTCTGTTGCCAAGACTAATTTAGGTCCAGCAAAACATTTTCATCTGAAAAACACATTCTTGCCATTTCTGTTCTTATTCACACTGGTTTGTCAGTTAAAAATGTTAAGAAAACAGTCATTTAAAATTAAAATAAAACACGTTCATTTTAGAGTGCAGACTCTTTTTAATTGCACTTAAAATGTGAAGGTGAGCAGTGGCATTAGCTGTTAGAGAGTTTCAGGAATTACGGTGCTAGCATGGTTAAGAGCTTGACATTACTGGAACTGTTGCCAAATAAGGGAGGCTGCATTATAATCCCGAGGAACATTATATCACACTTATCTACAAGCCTGCTGAAATGGAAATCTAATAAGTAAATTGATTCTTAAAATGTAGAGAGCGTTGAAAAAAATATATATTGGTGCTTTTAGAAAATATATTTCAAGGATGTAACTGCTGTGCTACAGTACATGCAGAGTTTTAGAAAACAGTGCGTCAACAAAGTACACTGTTTAGGTTACTTTAGAAGACAATGTACCAAAACAATATATGCTGTCTGGGTCATTAGATTAGCCTAAAGTAATTGATAAGCTTTGATAAACAAATCTAGTGGTGCTTCTTCTTTCGTTTTTATGATGTGATCTGTTTTGTCTTAGGGCAAGGGGAAGTGTTAGAAGGGACAAAGTGCTGAGCTTTCTCTTACAGCGCAACATCTTATAAAAACCCTGTACTGCTTGCAACAAATTGAGTCTCTGATGCACTTTCCAGAGTGACAGCAGGGCTCCCAGTATTGCAATATTGAAATAAAGACCTTACTCAGCTGAGAACTCTCTCTTGCGGCTTCTTTGATAGTTATATTTCTATGACACTGCTCCATTAGAATTCAACAAAGCCTATTATTTTCATTGCCAGGATTAATGGATATGATATCAATGGGGGAATGGTAGTGGAGGTGTGGAGTGCAGCTGTTATATAATACTACAGCCAATGTCCTCAGCTCTGTGCAATTTCACTTCAGACTTTTGGGGAATGCTCTTTGTGTTCTCTTTCTAATATCACAAAGCTCTCAGTGAATGCTACAACAAAAATATTTTACAAACTTATTAAATATTTTTTTTTAAAACAGTTATGGAGCAGAGAAAGAAGAGTGCACAACTACAAAGAGGGAAATTTAACTTATCAGGAGGTGAAATAGCCCTAATTGACTGTAGTATGAGGCAGCAGAGAACCTAGCATAAACCTTTTGATGATATTCACTTGTAGAACACACCCCTTTTTATGGCGAGTTCAGAGATTTGACATTTACATACCCGCAGTCTTTGACTCAAGAACTTCCTGTAAAGTTTCTGTCAGCTTGTCTTTGTGTTTATTATATGGTCAGTTCTCCCAGCATATCTGTTTTTTTTTTTTACTGTTCAGGAGGTTCTAGAGGTGATTAGAATTTAAAAACATACTGAAAAACATGATGCCATTCTGGACTATCTGTGCTCAAGAATTTATTTAGCAGCAGAACAGCTCTCTGCTCTGTAGCTGATGTTTCGTAACGGAATAAAAAATGTACTAATATATTAAATGTTCATTATATTAATTTATTCTCACCACTTACAATCAGATTTATTCTTAGAATAAACTGAAGTTAGTCCTTCTGTTATTAATTGAAGGCGAAGGAATTTTCCATGCAGGTAAGCTACGAGAAATCTTTCTTTAAAGAGAGCTTTGTTAGGATTATGATTTACTACAGAGAAAGTGCTGTACACTTTTTACTTTCACTTCTGTCACATCTTTCTGATTACTTTAGGTACAAGTGAAGGTCAGTTGTTATGTGAAGTAATTTTACAGTAAAATATTTTATAGATTAATATATAGAAGTCAAATGTAAAGGCCTTTATTGCTTAAACACACAAATGTTTTGATTGAAATTAGTCTGTTTGCAATACAATTAAGAGTAATGTTTGCAATGTTAATTTAAAATGATAAAATATAATTCCAGTTTTATACCATTCAGCTTTAGGTTATTAATCAATTGTGATCTTTTTTTGTCTGTGTCAAAAAACCTACATTTTCAAGAGGACTATGAGGTCCGTTTGTGAAGTTGTGTATGAAATCATTCTACTAGCGTTCAGCATCTGTGAAGTTTATTCAGGTAAAGAAACACTGAACTTTTTGTTGTTTTGCTTACCAGCCATTTATCTGAATGTGTGGCTTAAATACATCACGACAGCAAAAAATATTTTTATTATTGTATAAAATATTTGTAAAACTATAAAATACCTATTTATGTGAGGATAATTATAAGATTTATTTACAGTATCTGGTGATAAATATTTAATAACATAAGTTGTATTAATATTAGTATAGATTGTGGTATAAGTTTGCTATAGCAAGTAAACCTGCTCACAAGTCTGTTAAAACAATAATGAACACATACATTAACCTAACCATAATAAAACAATTTTGCTTGTTCGTTAATTTATCTGATGCTCGTATTAAGTGACGTAAACGGTACCCAGTTGTACAGCAGGATATTTTACAGAAGCAATCAGAATCAAGTTTGTATGTTTAAGAGCACAAGTATTCTCCACCTGGGATCCAAACGCGTAACCTTCCAGTGAGGTCCAGAGCCCTTTTCGCTATCCCTTATTCAGAGCGTTTCAGCTTATTACCAGACACGCAGGTCCCTAAAGGTCAGCTTTGTTAAAAATGGCTAAATATTGTAACCCAGAGGACTTTTGTCTCCACAGATACAAAAGTAGCCAGAAGAGATATCACAGCCATCGCTGGCACAACAGTGTCTCTGCACTGTAAGAATGAATCCCTGAGTCATTTGACACAAGTCAACTGGAAGAAAGACGGGCATCTCCTTGTCAGTTACAGACCTGAGAGTCCACCCTTTTACAAAGAGAATACTACATTAAGATTTCAGCCAAGTCAAGACAAGCTGTATGGTGTGCAGATTCAGGATGTGGTCACCTCAGATGCTGGGAACTATTCGTGCGAAACCACGACACAGTTAGGGATCTGGGAGGAATTCTGGGAACTTCTTGTCCAAGGTATGGTGGGCATCTTTTTTCCATTTAATTACTGTATTTCTAGGGCACTGCTGCTGAACCCTTCTGGTAACAGCGACCAGCTCCCTTAGGTCCCCCCAAAATCTGTTTTTGACTAAAAACATTCAACAAATCAATGGAAGAAAAAAAAACATTGAATTCATCCATTCTTACTGTCTCTCTCTGGCTCTGACTGTAAGGTCCGCAATTATTCTATTAAGGGTCTGATAAGCATTTATTCAGGGAACGTGGTGGTTCAGCAACATGGTTCTAGAGTATATTTCTTTAAGATACAGTATAAAATCTACTCAGATCAGATAGTAGATAGTTACACCTTGACCACACTGCCTCATGTATTGTAGCCTCACCAGCTGAAAGTAACATGGCTCTCCCTGTGAAAGGCACTGAAGGCCATGTGTAAAGTGAATTCTTTCTGTAAACACATCACTGAAAGGTGGGAGGAAACCAGAGGTCCCAGAAAAAAATACCCATGATGAAAAGCATACTCCGGACTCTGGAGCTGTGAAACAGCAGTGTCAACCACCCTGTTGAACCCAATTTTATTTTGTCTCTTCCCTTTTGTACAAAGCTTCCTTAAGCTAGACAGACGCTGTTATTAGACTCAATTATCCCACTATTCACACTACAATAACATTACAGTAAAAGCTTGCAGACCAAACCTAAATCCTATAATCTATTAGGTTATCTATACCTAATTTCCTCATTGTTAGTTTACCTAATAATTATAATAATTTGATAATAATAATAATTACCTTACCTCCTCTTGTTTGTAACCTTTATGTGCTTTTGCTCTTATCCCTAAGACTGAACAAGTTTTAAACCAATTTCCATTGCATACACATTTCAACCAGTGAACTTTAGTAAACAAAAATGATCTGATTAAATAAGTGTCTGTTCATTCTTTTTCCAAGGCAATGAACAGCTGATCAGTCCGATAATGTGTTTGTGGAGGAGCTCTGTATGAATTAGGTGTCCACCATTTCTGTGTATTAAGATTCTCTTTAACCACATTAGTGCACTGCACTGGGTTCCCAATGGTCTGAGTCTTCACTTTTCTTTCATGTAGTACCTTGATAAGGTTTTGGCAGGTGTACACAATTACTTTTCACAAACTTTGTTGCCTGTTCACTGGTGTCTTATTCAAGACAAGGTTTCCATTGACAGAAATTAAATCCAGCCAAGTTAATGATTGAGAAGCCATTGTTAGTGTTGGTACTTAGACGTGTTTTAGAAGTGCGTATTTGTGATATTACAGAGGTTTCTACCGCTTACATGTACGCTCTTGCCTTTCCCAGGCCAAAGCAGAAAAGGCATCCAGTGTTCTTGTGAATAGACCACTGCAAAGCTGACTGGCGTTACAAAATGTTGCTCACAAGATTCAGTATGTTCAGAATTCAGCAGGCGGGATTTTACCTAGAGGAAAATATGACATTAGCATAGCATTGATGTTTGAATGAAACAAACAAAGATCCTGTATGGTTCTTAAAAACTTTGATGATTATTTTCCACTGACAGCAAATGGTGGGTATCCTCCCCACTCATAAACCACTGACATGGCCAATTTCTGACACCTTTTCATGAGGGTTTGTGTTGCCTGTGATCTTAATTTATTAGTTTCGAAGTGGCTAAAGGTGTACTGGAGCTTTTTAAGCATGGCCCTCGTATTTCATGTTTTATGGGGGGTTTGGAAACTGTTAGATTTTAAATGCTGATGTATTGTAGTAGCTTGTGTGGAGGTGGTTGTGTACTGAACAAAATATTGTCCTAAAAAAGATGTTTTTTTTTTAAACAAGCTTCCGTTTCTCTTGAAGATCACTTCCGTTTCTGATCTACAGTGGATGTCCCCCCCCGCATTTCTCGCTAGACAATGCTGGCGGTATTCAGGGTCTTTGTCCCACTTTAGTGTCAAAACCACTACAGCAGTGATGGGTAGCTCTTTGCCTTTCCTTTCAAATCATTCTTACATGTCCTGTTGCTCGTGTTCTTGCACTTCTGTTATTTTCTTGTTTCTGCTCTGTTTGACCACCTGGGTACAGTTTCAGGAATGGCAACTTTTTTAATGGAGGTCAAAGGACGTCTTCCTTTGAGCTCTTCTCTTCATTCGTTCTTGTGCTTTTTCAGCGTAGGGATACATTCGTTTGTGCCTACGTATGCAGGTAAAAAAACAGTTTCATGTAGGAGCGTGGGATGGGGTAGACATTCAAAGCATCAAGCAACAGCCAGCATGGATCACATCTTCAAGTCTTGTAAGGCACCAACAGGAACATAAAATCACCTCACATTTTCTGCTAAGTGAGAGGAAAGCAAATGTCCTTATTAAACCATTACCCTAAGTGTCAATTGTCCTAACTTACAGAGCTGGGGTAGAAAGACTGGGGTCAGCTTCAGCTTCAGTCTGTCAGTGTAGAATATTCCTTTAAGGCCCAGATTGTATCTTGCTCTTCTTTGGACTGAGAGCAGTATTATCTTTTGTATGAAAATATATTTAGAAAATTAACTATTCCTAGGACCATATTTCCATTTACACTATGGCATAGTTCTAATAATTGTTTCCATATCCTGAATTGGTGTACCATATATACTGTATAGTGCAGTCTGTAAGTATTTGGACAGTGACACATTTTTTGTTGTTTTAGCACTGTACTAAAGCATATTGGATTTGAAAGGAAACAATGAGGTTAAAGTGCAGAATGTCAGCTTTAATTCAAGGGTATTTATGTCTATATTGGATGAACCATATAGGAATCACAGCCCTTTGTATACATAGCCCCTCCCCATTTCAGCCTCAAACCCATAAGAACTTCTGAAGGGAATTTCTAACATGACGGGGATGAAAGAGCTTATAAATCAATAAATAATTGTTTGCCCTCTTTCCCCAGGACCACGTTGCACTTGCAGTGCAAGAAGGCTATTTTAAGAGTCACTGTTTAGCCTCAGCTCACACCAACAGATTCCTGTGGTTAACACTGGTAGCAGTAACTGCATATCACTGGCTGCATTGCTCCTGTAAAGCTTGCAGGCCACCTGCACCTTCACTTCACTAAAACACTGCAGGATACAATGTGCTTATACTGAAGCTCATTCTTTCTTTCTTTTTTTCTAAAAATAGTGCAGGAGGGGGATGCTATCAGGTTCTCCAAAGTTCAGGTGAAGTTAGAATAAAGGGTCTTTTGTCAAGTAAGAATCTAAAGCCACTGTTCGCAGCGTACGTTCCATTCTTTCCAATACCGATGTGACAGGTTTGACTGAAAGCATTGGGGTGGAATTCAAGTTAATAGCTGAAATTAAATGCTGCCATGAATTGTTTAATGGAGCAAACTTCCAATGTAAACAACAATACAAACAATTCCTTCAAATAGAAGGAATACCAGGACTTTAAAAACTAGGTTTTCAGGCCGGATTCAAAGCTGCAATTAGACTCATAGTGTGTTATAGCCTTCAGAATTGCATTGTGCTCCCCCATAGTAAATAAAAGGGAAACCAAAGGCTTGATACATGAGAGTGAATACAAACCCATGGAAATTCTGCGATTATAGAGGCTGTGGAGAAGTGTAAAATGGGGATAACTTTTAATGGAAAACAGAAGCTGAAAAGATCTGGACATTGAATATGCATAAGGGAATTATAAACATGATTTTGAGAGGAGCCAATAACTGGTTAGAAGTGGATACGTGATGGATGAGACCACCATATAAGTAATTAAAAGCACTGATGCCCTTTGCACACCACATACAAATACCTCAGTGAGAAACTAAAAAGGATTCTTGTTACCATGTTGTTGCGAATGACTTTAATCTGCTACTTTCGTCACTTGATGCTTTAAATACATCTATATTCTGTACCAAAGTCAGTGTGGGACACTCCTCTTTTCAATTAAGTTTTGTGTAACTGGTTAAATACTTCCTTGCAGACCACCGCCAAGTTATACCAACATTAAACATGTTATATAAACATTCACTTATGATTACCATTCAAAATCAGAAAAGCAAGTGTTTATGACATTTGTCAAAGTGCATACTATTTATGTTTCAGGTTTAGAGCTATGATTTAAGTTAGGATTAGGGTGAGCTATTATTCTATAGAAGAATTCTGAAATGAAATTCAAAGAGCAGCACTTTCTTTAGAGTTAAATAAGAGTCACACCGACTGTCAGATTTCTGGATTTCCTCCTAGTCGATAAAATTTCAGTGCAGAAGACCCTGATAAAATAATAAATTATTATGTGTTTTAGGTCACGTGGAGACTCCAGTACCAAACATTGCCATCTATGTGGTTCCTTCCATTTCATTTGCTGTCTTTGGGGCTATAGTGATCATTTTCTGTAAGAAAAGATGCAGACGGTAAGTTAAAATAGTCACAAAAATTATAAAAGCAAGTGTTCCTTAGACTTGTCTTTTAATTGTTTCATGCTTGTTGCCTCAGTGTGAAGGCAAGATTTAATTGCAGGGATATGTGTTGAGATCAAAACACTAAATCCTTGTTTCATGTACCTGAGATTGACAATATTTATCTGCCTTTTTATCCAAAGCAACTTAAATTGCACCCATTTATACAGATGGGTATTCTACTGGAACAGTTCAGTTGAACACCTCACTCAATAATACAACAGCAGTCTCTCAGCTGGGATTTGAACCCATAGGCTTCTTTTTATAGGAACAGAGCCCTGTTTCACTGCTCCACACCAGCTTTAGCAGTTAGCTCTTAAGGGTAAGTTAATCAAGTCAAATCTCAAGAAAAACAACCATGATCAATCTGTGAGCAGAGACAATTTCTTCCCACAAACTGTCAGATTACGGAAATCTACCCTTACCACCGTTTTTTTTTTTGTTGTTGAATGTTAGTTAACTTGTTGATGTTTTTGGAGATTGCTTTAATGTCTTTGTTTTGGAGCATACATGCAAATAAGCATTTCACTGGACTTGTGCATATGACAAATAAACTGAACTGAACTGTTTGTGCTGGTCTTTTCTGTTGTTGCAATAATTTAGACGTCAGAGCACAAGGGGAAATGAAGCACGTCCCTTCAAAAGAAAGGTAAGTTGCATCCAGGTCTCGCAAGCTTTTTTTCACTGAAAATAGTTACTGCCGCATCAGACTTCAGTCCAAGTCTTGTCTGAATGTAAATGTGAGTGCAGGCCAGAGCCATTGAGTCCTGAGTGCATCCCTGTGCTGCCCAGTTCAAAAACCCAGGAGCGTTGAACATTTCACGTACCCACACTCTTGTCCTACAGGGGTCGCCATTGTGCCTCTCTCTTTCCTAGCGTTAATCCCGCATCAGCAGGGTCCGCTTGTCGGCACACCAGTCTCCATTTGGTGGTTTGAACCAAATATTTTTTGAGCTGACGTTGCTATTAACTGCGACCGAGAAATACTCCAACCGGCGCGTCGCTCCGCCTGCCGTCGGAGTGGGGGGAGGAGAACAAAGTAATGTAGCCAATTCATAGAGGGGGATTATTAGGAGGCATGGGAAATTTGGCCAGGATGCCGGGGTTACACCCCTACTCTTTTCGAGAAACACTCTGGGATTTTTAATGACCACAGAGAGTCAGGACCTCGGTTTTACATCTCATCCGAAGGACGGTGGCTTCGCCATTGTGCCTGTACAGATTTAACCCCGGAAACAAACTGCCTTGTTACCGTACAGTTGACTCAATAAAGAGGAATTACCAAACGATTGGTTCTATGTACAGTATGCTGGGCCTGTGTGATAAGGTAGTTTCCAATGAGGGTTTGCAGATGTGTTATGAACTACTTAGGTCAACTTATTACTTAGTTCCCACTAAAAAATCAGTTTCCAGGAACGTTTTGTTTTTACGTGTTTGCTTTACATAAAATAGATAGCAACTTCCTGCATTAAAAGACCATTGTTGTGCTAATTATACCTTTACGTTGTTCGAAAGATGGGTCGAATCTTTAATTGTCCTTTGAGTCGCCTATGTATTTAAAATGGACACGATGAAAAACTGATAACCTCCTCAGATTTACAAAAATATTGACACAGCTACAAAGTACAAGACGTGATTGTTAAGGCTTTTTATAAGAAAATGCAATTGTTTGCCGATGCTGGGTTTTTAAGGTTAAAACGGCAATATTCGTGATAACAGTATGGTGCTAGAGACAAATTTAATTATCCTGATATTAAATGCAAAAATCAACTACCGCACCCTGGAGAAATATTGCAAATATTGTTATCCCCGTAATCCAGTACCTGAACTGTCCAGACTGTTACTTCAGGTCACATTCACCGTGCATGGTCACGGGATTACTGGAAAAGGAAAGCGCTATATCTCGGGAAGGAAAGCAGTAGAAAGGCTGCTTTCAATGGCACTGACTGGCACTAACGAATGCGGTGGGTTTCACCGTTTTTGTTGTTTGTAGGGGGGGCACCTTCACAGAACTGCCTGAGCATTGTGATAAATTGTAATTCCGTTATACACCGTAAAAGCAGCACTGGACAAATAACAGCTGAGATTAATGACAACTTTGTTGGAGACGTGTACTGTAGGTTTCTAAACCTTTTAATTACTGGTTTCAGCTGAGGTGTACATTTTCGTGGAAGGTTTTCACCTGCCCTGATGCAAGACAAGCACCTGAAATTCCTTTTTAGTATCTGTACCGCATGTCTTCCAGCTCCCTGCTCATTCTCACTCTGTATTCTACATGTACACTTCTGTCACAGTAATTGGACCAGTTTGATGATGCCAGGGCACTAATAAATCAGAACGTGGTATCAGAAAGCTATTCAACACCTGGACATCCATCACATTTTTTCACCTACCAAAGTGCCAATTTTTTACAAGTCCACAACCACTTCAGCTGCAATATGACAGCTTGGCTCCTATGCTGGCATGTGTGCACTACAGATCCCCCTTAAGACAGCGAAATCAGCAGCTTCTGCTTGATGCAGTGAACACAAAATGATTGGTATCTTTTACTTAAAGGAATAAAAAAAAAACACAGAAGGGACTGTGGTGTAATTATCCTCTTTTGCTCAATGAAGGTTCTGCTTCTAAAAAGAAAAAAAATAAATCTCTTATCAAGCCTCATGTATGGGATGTTCCTGCAGAGGCACAGTTTGCCACAAAAAGGGATACTCTTGTACCTGCATGCTAAAATCCCAAATATTTATTTTTGTTTTCTTTTGCCACCTCTACAGTCTCTGACATGTTTATGCAAGGAAAATATTCCAAGGGTTTTTGAAAAATTCCACGTGGCTCATGAGTGCAGTTTCCTTTTGTGACTACGGTATTGCCAAACTTTGTCTTCCCAAAGCTGTAATTAATACTGTTTACGGGAAAAACAAAAACTTTCAAAGTATATTACTGAACTAGAAAAGTCCTGTTTTGCTTTGATGTTTTCCTTCCTAAACTGGCTCTAGATGTGCTCTGTATCTGTAAATGTTTTGGCATGTTCAATCATTTTAATTCTTTGTTTTTGCAGATGCAACGCAAGAATGAAGAAATTTATGAGAATTCTCTGATGCTCAAGTCCGATCTAGATCTGGCACAGCAGCAAAAAGGATGTAAAGAAACATGCTTCTCGTAAATGAAATGCATGATTCTTAGTTTAGATGCAGCAGGGATCTGGGAGAACTAAAAATGTTATTGGATGGCAGTCTAACACAGGCCTTACATTGAGATACCTAAACCCAGTTTTATTTTCCACCTTGTATTTTTAGCATTCATACATACTGTACATCATAGCTCTGTGAAGCAGGCTTTGGAAAAACTGAGGTAACCACAAATGCAAAGTGACAATATAAATACAAGCGAATTGAGCTCATTTGCTTCCTGTGAGGCTTAATTTAAATCGAGTGCTAGGCAGCACAACAACATGGTGGAAATTGCTACTACTGTACCTCACAGCTCCTTGGTCCCAGCTTCAATTCCAGACTGAGGTGCTGGGCTGTGTGGAGTCTGCATGGTTCTCCATGTTTGCAGGAATGTCCTCCCACCTTCCAAAGCCCTGCTGGCTGCACGCACCATAAATCCAGTACCTGTTCATGCCCAGTGTCTTTATTGTCCTGGACTGGGCTCAATCCTTACCTCTTTAATGGAAGAATGAAACCAAGGATCATCTGCAAGTGTCTCTTCTCACCTGTTTCAAAGTCAAACCTTTGCTTACAGATCGTGTGCTGTAGATGGGTTTGGAAAAATACCAAACCAGTTTTGGTAAAAGAGATAAATGTCCCTGCAAAGCTCATAGAGCTCATAGACTTTAATCGGCATTTGCAAGTTTAAGTGGTTCTCTATGTGGATTAAAGTATTAAAGATAAAAGTATTAATTACGTTGACTTGCATGTACTTAACCTGGCTACATAAAATGTTATTTTTAAAACATAAACTATGACTATTTATGTAACAGTAGTTTTAACATCCTTATGTATGACACATCTGTGTCAGTTTTTACCTGTCTACTGCCATGTTCGTTCCAAGTGCAATGTGTATTATGCACGTGCAATATAATAAAAAGGGTTTCTGATTAGACTTTTGTTTAAAAAAAACAATGTAATTCATATGAAATAAAATGAAAATTTATTCGCACCTGATAACAACATCTTGCTTGCTATTAAGTATTGCCATCCATGTTGTTTAGAACCCCATTCCGGCAGCTCTGACATCGTACAAGTACTGTACATCGTCGATTTCTAAATATTTCGAACACTTTAATTGGAAGCAATTAAGCATTTTTTTTGTTCAGGTAATTTAGAGTCACTTTGGAATCTAGTTCTAAAACTCTGGATGTCCTTAAACCCTTGGGTTAAATTGCAAGGAAGTGAAAGCATCGTACTAACTGGAGTTCAAACCCTGGTTAGCACGCAGCTCCGTGTTCAACTAGAGCGCCTATTTAAAACCAATAGCAACGAATTTGTCTGCTGGAATTAGCCCGCAGCACCGTACTAAACCTGTTCTCAGTTGCAACAAACCCAAAGTAACAGCTGCTGCCCTCTAGAGGTTACTGAAGTACGGGACTAACTTAAATACTTTATTGATCCCGTGAGGGAAATTGCAGTGCAACAGCAGCTTTACACAGACAACACAGTCACAGTGTACAATATACAATAATAATAATAATAATAATAATAATAATAATACAATACAATCAGTACAGTGAGGGGTGCACTGAAAAAGTTACTCACAGTCCGGACACACAAAGAACAAAATTAGAACAGAACAGTACGCAGAAAAATCGTATCACTCATGAATATAAATATAGATGTAAATATAGATATACATATAAAGGTATTGCACGGGTCCCTGGCATATATTGCACAAAAAACGGTTGTTAACAGGAAAAGAAAAGAAAGAGAACAGATGTAGCAGTGGATGTGCAGATGCGTTCAGTCCAGAAACAGGTCACTGTCAATGTTGCCTCTGCCCAGACGCAAGGTGGAGGCGTTGTACAGTCTTATGAGAGAAGGCAAGAATGACCTCCTGTAGCGCTCCCTGTCGCACCGTGGATGAATCAGTCTATTGCTGAACGTGCTCTTCAAACCACCTCTTCATAGTGTAATTAAGTACAGAAGTATTTAAATAGTCTGAAAGTCTTAAATGTGTTCTGTTACATCGGGGCCTCAATTGAATAGGTTTGTTGTATTTTATTGCGATGAAAGTCTATACTTTTGGTTCTCAGGGGAAAGCAGGGTATTGGAGATTTGGAGGTCTAGTGAATAAGATGCGTAGACAAATGTAAGGGTACGTTAAAGGAAAAAAAAAACTTACCGACAGCTTTTTAATAATGAGTATCGCAGTTCTTCGGAAAGTCTCGGAGACAGAGCAGGCGGCTCACCCAGGCGATACCAAGGTTGTCTAGGACCGCACACGCCACAATGACGGTACTGGCTCTGGACTGGGTCAGATAAACAGTGAAAAACCGAAATGACCTAAAAAGATCTGTAACGGAAGTCTAAACCCACCTTTTAGAACTACAAACATATATATTGTACCTGTAGATGAAATAATCTCCCATGTACTATCACGTTTGATCGATATTGCTGTTTAAAAATAAAAATTGCTAACCGTATTGAACATTAGCTGGCGCTTTTTGGTACTATTTACATGTAGTACACGCGTTTGTCAGTTATTATTCGACATACTGTGTTCCTAACCCTCAACCTCAAACGGAGAAATTGTAGCGCACAAGACTACCGCAGAAACAAAGGTAACTATACATAAAACCGAAATAATGGTTCGATTATACATAAAGGATCTCCGAATGAATCTTTATCATTTATCAACGGAAATAAAAGCGCCTATAGTATGATACATGTTCAAGGTCAGACCCGCAGCAGCTGTACTCGTTTGTATTGTAACTAATACTGCGTTCCAAATCCGAAAGTTCATTATAGTTGACACCTGAGAATCAGAGTTCCCTTTGCAGAATAAATTACTTCCTTAACTGATCAATTAAGTCCCTAACAGGTGTTCTTTAGACATGAGTGATTTAGAGTGCCCAATAGGATTAAAAGTAGTAACATAGGACCATAGTTGGACTACTGTACAGGCTCCATCCACAAGCTTTTGATATTAATACCATGTGTCTTCAATGTTAAAATCAAATTCAAATGTACTGCATGCAAGAGAGTGATACAAAGATGACTCGGTATCCTGTCAGTAATTACTGATCATTAAGCACCCAAAAAGTATTAGTCCTAGTCACATTATCTCGTATAACCAATCAGAAAACGAAGAAATGTATATTAGTGTAAGCTACAAACTGAAAACGGAGAATTCTCTAGTGTATTACTCAAAATATTTTAAATGCGTAACTGAATAAAACAACAATAACATGGGACATAAGCTTACGGTTTTAAATCTTTTTGTATCTTGTCGTTTTTGTCATTAAAAAGCGAATAATTGTTCAGTGTCACAATAAACACATTTTGTACATTTAATTAAGAAACATATATCAACTTCTTCAAAGGAACGTAGAAAAGATGGGTGATATTTCTGCACACGAAGCTTAGTATCCTTACCCGAGGATAAGGAAAATTACACATTCGTACATGTCTAAAACAGAACAGGGCCGGTGCCGTATCGGATTCAGTATACCGCGGCCATCTGTATCCCCTTTCAAAGTACGCATGTGCACTGGAAATCAGAGCGTGAGTGTGTCTCGGGACCCGCGGAATTTGCGTGGAATACCAGATCCCACATTCGCTCACTGCGGAGAAGTGGATCATGGGTTATCATACGAGTGAGGGTGGCTTACTTAAGCAATCCTGAAATTCAGAATTACGCGATGCTTGTGTGAATCTTTTTTGTTGTTCTTGTTGTTCGGGACATGCAAATTATTGTAATACTTACCTGAAATTTAGAATTGCTCGTTTGCTACAGAAAATACGAAATGTGTGCAAGAGCAGGCAGACAAATCATACCTCTAATTTCCAGTGCACATGCTCACTTTGAAAGGGGATACAGATTTCCATGGCATACTGAATTCGATACGGCCCCGGCCCTGGGCACAGGCGAACTGGGC